TAATAATACAGCCATATAGAAGCAAAGTTAAAACGTTACTGGCATTTCTTTAGAAATAGCAACATTTTTATAAAGGGTTCTCACATTGCAGGAATAAGGACGAATGAGAATGAAAGCACTATTAAAACATGGTTTGACAAAATCACATGACTCAGTTTACCATTTTTATATTCGCGTCGTAGAATCTATTAAAAATTCTTCGGTGATAACGTCTTTTAAAATGTGGCTCATTTTTTTTATTTATTTATTTTTTTCTGTAAACTAGAAAAGTGGGATTTTGGAGTTGCAAGGTTAATAGAATACATTTTGAAAATAAATTATATATACATACATACATACATACATACATACATACATACATATATATATATATATATATATATATATATATATATATATATATATATATATATATATATATATATATATATATATATATTATATTTCGTTGGATTGATGTGAGTTTGAGACACTAGTTTTCACGCTTTTTGCGATCGTCAGACAAACTGATTAATTTTTACATTTTGGATTTATATAGAATTGCGTATATCGGTGTTTTCTTATGGAAGTGGGAGGAAAATTAGCCGTCAGGACGCCACTCATCGCAAAAGCGTGATACCCAGGGTCATAAGCTCCCATTAATCCAACTAAATATGCTAGCTCCATCACTGATATTGAGCGCTTTCCAATAAGTACCGAGCATACATAATATATAAATAATATATATAACAAATATCTATATATATATATATATATATATATATATATATATATATTTAGATTTAGATTTAGATAAATAAATATTTTCACACTCCTACACACACACACACACACACACACACATATATATATATATATATATATATATATATATATATATATATATATATATATATATATATTTTTATGACCCCTTCGCACAGAACTCTTCATTGCCAATTCAAGAAAGAAAATGTCTCATATCGAGAATATTTAACATTGAAAAACATAAATAATATGTAGAAATGTCCGCTTTTACCTGAAGACGGTCGCGTGTAGTAAAATTATGTAAAACAAAGCATAATATTTTTTTCTAAATAAATCCACATTACAATCAAAAACGTTTGCAGCACCTCTCTCTTCTTTTTTTTAATATACATACTTTTCTCTCGTTGGAACCACTACAAACATTTTTCTTATATATATATATATATATATATATATATATATATATATATATATATATATATATATTAAAATTATTTTCAATTTTAAATTGTAAATAATTATATTATGCTCTACTGTTTTTTGTAACGAGCACTGTTTTTTTTAAATAAAAATAATTACTAAGTACACCGGATTGTAAATTTTTTTTATTATATATATAAGAAAAACAGACGATTTTTTATATATATATATATATATATATATATATATATATATATATATATATATATATATATATTATTTATATAATTATATATATTTATGTATGTGTGTGTGTATTATGATTATTATTTAAAATGATGTATTCATCGCGATACAGAAATTACCATGTTTCGAAACCAAAATCTTAAATCCAAATCTTGCGGTAGATCTGAAAAGCGTCAGGAAAACCCCTACCCGCTCCTTTTTGAAATGAACATCGCTACACATAAAAAGCTAAGGTCCCGCCACCGAAATAGAATTACAAATGCGTATGTATGTAAATCCGAACGCACGGATCTCTATCTGCGCCTAGACTAGAACTGCTTATATGGATGTGTTGGTGTAAACTATAATGCGTTCACCTGTATATATGTGTCTATGCGTATGATAGTGCCACATTAAACAAACAAAAAAAGTAAATTCCCTTTCCCGCCACCAAGCATAGTCAAACAAGCATAAATAAATCAAGTTTTAAAAAATAAAACAGGTTGTCTGATTATCGCAAAGGCGTGGATATCAGGGTCACAATCTCCTATCTATACAACTTATTATGTTAGTTCCATCATTGATACTGAGTGCTTTCTAATAAGTACCGGGCATATAATATATATATATATATATATATATATATATATATATATATATATATATATATATATGTTAAAGTGTGTGTGCAAATATATTGATATAATAGGAAAGAATTGTTAGATTGATGATTCAAAGTTCTTTATTATTTTTTTTTTTTTTTTAAAACCAGTGCTCGATACACAAGTAGAGCCTAGATTATAATTTAAAAAAAATATGATTCTATCGCGACTCTGAAATTACTAGTTAATTCCAATATTAAACCTTAACCACTAGGTAGCCGTTTCATCATCAGGCATTGTTTTGAAGCGTTCACATTCCAAAACAATGCTTGAAGACGAAACTACAGTGTTTAAGGTTTAATACTGGAATTAAACTTAAATACTGCTGACCAGTTTAGAATCATAGTTATTTCTGTCTCGCGATGGAATCATATTTTTAAAAAAAACTATTTCCTATACTTTATAGCTCTTTTGTTATATTCTCAAAACATTGTTCCGCTATATATTTACTCAAGCTCACTAAGTTTATTATGTTTTGTTTTCCTCTCTCCCTAATTTTTCACTTATTTTCCGCTGTCCCTATGGTTCCATAGTTTTCCTCTGAACCTATTGTTTTGACGTGTTTTCCTCTGTCCCTATTGCATTAACTTGTTTTACTCTGAACCTATTGTTTTAAATTGTTTTCCTCTGTCCCTATTGTTTTCCTTTTTTTCCTCTGTCCCTATAGTTTTACCTCGTTTACCTCTATTTCTATTGTTGTCACTTGCATTCCTCTGTCCCTATTGTTTCCCATTGTTTTTCCTCTGTTTCTACTGTTTTCCCTTGTTTTACTCTGTACCTATAGATTTGATTTGATTTCCCCTGTCCCTATTGATTTACCTTGTTTTCCTCTCTCCCAATTGTTTTCCATTGTTTTCCTCTGTCCCTATCGTTATAACTTGTTTTCCTCTGTTCCTATTGTTTTCCCATGTATTCATCTGTTTCTATTGTTTTCGCTTGTTTTCCACCATCCCTATTTTTTACTTGTTTTCCTCTGTTCCTATGGTTTTCCATTGTATTCCTCTGTCCCTATTGTTTCCATTGTTTCCTCTGTCCCTATTGTTTTCCCTTGTTTTCCTCAGTCTCCATTATTTTCCCTAGTTTTCCTCTGTCCCTACTGTTTTCCATGTTTTCATCTGTTTCTATTTGCCTATTTTTCCTATGTCTCTATAGTTTTCCCTAGTCTTATTCTGTCTCTAATGATCTCCTTTGTTTTCCTCATTCCCCATTGTTTTCCTTTGTTTTATCTTCCTCTGTCCCTATTGATTTCCCTTGTTTCCTCTGTCCCTGTTGTTTTACCTTGTCTTCCTCTGTCCCTATTGATTTCCCTTGTTTCCTCTGTCCCTGTTGTTTTACCTTGTCTTCCTCTGTCCCTATTGATTTCCCTTGTTTTTCTCTGTCCCTATAGTTTTTCCTTGTTTTCCACTATCACTATTGTTTTCCCTTGTTTTGCTCTGTTTCTATTGTTTTCCCGTGTTTTCCACTGTCCCTTTAATTTTACCTTGTTTTCCCCTGTCCCTATTGTTTTCCCTTGTTTTCCTCTGTCCCTAATGTTTTTCCCTTATTATCCTCTGTCTCTTGTATTTTCCCTTGTTTTCCTCTGTCCCTATTATTTGGACATGTTTTCCTCTGTTTCTATTGTTTTCCTTTGTTCTTCTCTGTCCCTATAGTTTTCCCTTGTTTTCCACTTTCCCTATTATTTGGTCTTGTTTTCTTCTGTTTCTATTGATTTCCCTTCTTCTCCTCTGTCACCATTGTTTTCCCATGTTTAGCGCTGTCCCTATAGTTTTAACTTATTTTCCTCTGTCCCTATAGTCTTAACTTGTTTTCCCCTGTCCCTATTGTTTTCCCTTGTTTTCTTGTTTTCTTCTGTCCCTATTGTTTTCAGTTGTTATCCTCTATTGCTTGTATTTTCCCTTGTTTTCCTCTGTTCCTATTTTTTGGCCATGTTTTCCTCTGTTTCTATTGATTTCCCTTGTTCTCCTCTGTCACTATTGTTTTCCTTTGTTTAACTCTGTCCCTATAGTTTTACCTTGTTTTCCTCTATTTCTATTGTTTTACGTTGTTTTCCTCTGTCTCTAATCTCTTCCCTTGTTTTCCTCTGTTCTATTGTATTACCTGGATTTCCCCTGTCCGTATAAATTTTATTGTTTTTCTCTTTCCCTACTTATTGCTTTTAACTTGTTTTCCTCTGTTTCTATTGATTTCCCTTGTTCTTCTCTGTCACTATTTTTTTTACCTTGTTTAACTCTGTCATTATTGTTTTCCCTTGTTTTCATTTGTTCCTACTTTTTTCCTGTCACTGTTGTTTTCTCGTGTTTTGTCCCTATTGTTTTACGTACTCTACACTTACTCGATTCTTTTCCCATCTCCCTATAGTTTTACCTTCTTTACCGCTGTTTCTATATTTTCGCTTGTACCAAACTGTCCCTATGTTTTTACCTTGTTTACTACTGTCCCTATTGATTACCTCGTTTTCACCTGTTTCTATTTGTTTCCCTTGTTTCCACTGTTTCTATTATTTGCCATTTTTTCCTGTCCCTATTTTTTGCCCTTGTTTTCCTCTGATTCTATTTTTCCCTTGTTCTCCTCTGTCCCTATTGTTGTCCCTTGTTTCCTCGTTCCCTATAGTTTTACTTTGTTTTACTCGGTCTCTATTTTTTCCCTAGTTTTCCTCCGTCTCTACTGTTTTCCTTGTTTTCCTCTGTTTCTATTGTTTCCATTTTTTTCCTCTGTCCCTATTTTTTGACCTTGTTTCCTGTCCCTATTGTTTTACCTTGGTTTCCTCTGTTTCTATATTTTTCCTTTAGATTTTTCTTGTTTTCTTCCTCTGTTCTTATTGTTTTTCCTTGATTTTCTCTGTCACTATAGTTTTACCTTTTTTCCTCTGTCGCTATAGTTTTACATTGTTTTCATCTGTCCCTATAGTGTTTTTCCCTTGTTTTACTCTTTCTCTAATGATTTCCCATGTTTACATCTGTCCCTATTGTTTTCCCTTGTTTCCTCTGTCCCTATTATTTGCCCTTGTTTTCTTCTGTTTCTATTGTTTTCCCTTGTTCTCCTCTGTCCCTATATTTCCCTTGTTTTCCTACGTCTCCACTGCATTCCACTGTTTTCCACTGTCCCTATTTTTTTAACTTGTTTTCCTGTTTCTATTTTTTCCTTTGTTTTCCTCTCTTTCTATTGTTTACGCTTGTTTTCCTCTGTCCCTATAAGTTTACGTTGTTGTCTACTGTCGCTACTGTTTTACATTGTTTTCCTCTGTCCCTAATGTTTTCCATTGTGTTCCTCTGTCTGTATTGTTTTCCCTTGTTTTCCTCTGACCCTATTATTTGGCCTTGTTTTCCCCTGTTTCTATTTTTTTTTCTTTGTTCTTTTCTATCGCAATTTTTTTCCATTTTTACCTCTGTCAATATAGTGTTACATTGTCTTCCTCTGTCCCTATATTTCCCTTGTTTTCCTCCATCTCTACTGTCATCCCTTGTTTCCCCCTGTCACTATTGATTTCCCTGGCTTTACTATGTCCCTATAGTTTTACATTTTTTTCCTCTGCCCCTATAGTATTACCAAATCTTCCTCTGTCCCTATTTTTCCCTTGTTCTCCTCTGTCCCTAGGGATTTTCCTTTGTTTACATCTGTCTCTATTGTTTTACCCAGTTTTCCTATGTCCCTATTGATTTCTTTTGTTTTCGTCTGTCCCTATGGACCTATAGATTTACCATGTTTTCCACCGTCCCTATAATTTTAACTTCTTTTCCTTTCCCTTGTTTTTCCTCTGTCCCTAATGTATTTCCGTGTATTTTTCTCTCCCTATTGTTTTACCTTGTTTACCTCTGATTCTTTTTTTCCCTTGTATCAATCTGTCCCTATGGTTGTACCATGTTTTCTACTGTCCCTAGTGTTTTACCTTGTTTACCTCTGTTTCTTTTTTTCCTTGAATTCCTCAGTTTCTATTGTTTGACATTTTTTCTGTCCCTATTGTTTGCTCTTGTTTTCCTCTTTTTCTATATATTTCCCTTGTTATTCTCTGTCCCTATAGTTTTACCTTGATTTCCTCTGTTTCTATTTTTTCCCTTGTTTTCCCCTGTCCCTATATTTCTAACTTGTTTTCCTCTGTCCCTATATTTTTCCCTTGTATACTTCTGTCCCTATTGTTTTCACATGTTATCCTCTCTTTCTAATTTTCCTTTGTTTTCCTCTCTCACTATTGTTTTACCGTGATTTCCTCTGTTTCTATTTTTCCCTTGTTTCATTCTCTCACTGTCCCTATTATTTTAACTAGTCTTCCACTGTTTCAAATTTTTCCATTGTTTTCCTCTGTGACTATTGTTTTCCCTTGTTTTCCTCTGTCCCTATTATTTGCCCTTTTTTTCGTCTGTCGCTATTGTTTTCCCGTGTTCACCTCTGTCCCTATTTTTCCCTTGTTTTCTTACGTCTCTTCTGTCTTCCCTTGTTTTCCCCTGTCCCTATTAGTTGGTCTTGTATTGCTCTGTTTCTATTGTTTTCCCTTATTCTCCTCTGTCACTGTTGTTTTCCCTTGTTTTCCACTGTCCCTATAGTTTTACCTTGTTTTCCTCTGTCCCTACTTTTTTAACTTGTTCTCCTCTGTCACTATTTTTTTCACTTGTTTTCCTCTGTTTGTATTGTATTTCCTATTTTTCCTCTGTCCCTATTGTTTTAAATTGTTTTCCTTTGTCCCTATTGTTTCCCTACTTTTCCTCTGTCCCTGTTGTTTTCCATTGCTTTGCTCTGTCCCTATTGTTTTAACCTGCTTTCCCCTGTCCCTATGGTTTTACCCTTTCTTCTGGCCCTATTGCTTTCCCTTCTTTTATTCTGTCTCATTATTTTAACATGCTTTAATGTGTCCCTATTATATTCTCTTGTTTTCTACTGTCCCTATTATTTTCCCTTGTTTTCATCTGCCCCTATTGTTTTCCCTTCTTTTTCTTTCTTTGTTTCTATTGTTTTCCCTTGTTCTCCGCTATACACTGCGTTCCAAATTATTATCGAGATAACATTTTTTCTAATATTTCAAAAACCGTCCAATCAATTCAAACAAAATTTTCACACAATGTTGGCAACATTGGCCTGCGCAATCAATGAAATTTTCGTACTGATCTGCGCAATTTAAACAAACTAGCGCCATATTTGTTATCAGCACGGTGAGTTGAGCGTGCCAAATTATTAGAAAAGTGCAAGAATTTAGTGAAATGATGGGCCGTAAAAGCAGTGATGCTGAAAAGAAAACTATCACCTCAGAACTCTCAAAAGGTAAATCTACCCTATAAATTTCTAAAATGATAGGGGGTGTCATCAAAAAGTGAAAAAGTTCACCGCCGACCCTACACAAGTATGCAAAAGGACGGATAAAGGCAAGCCGAGGGTTATTTCACATCGTCTCATGTCACGACTTAAACTAGAGGCCACGAATAACCCTGGACTTACCAGTCAAGAGCTTTTCAGTCTCATTGGGGATCCTACTGTGTCTAAAAGTACTCGGTGTCGGTATCTGAGGGAAATAGCAACAACAGTCAAACCTGTATCGAAGCCTCCGTTGACGAGAAATCACATTCAAAATCGATTGAAATGGGCCGAGGACAATATGAAGATTGACTTCTCTAAAGTTTTGTTCACAGACGAAACTCGAGCAACACTCGATGCGCCAGATAGATGGTGCAAAGGCTGGCTAATGAACGGACAGAATCGCCAACAAGGCGGTGGGGGCATAAGGATCTGGGGTTGTATCATTGGAAAAACATTCTGTCCCTTTAGTTTTACCTTGTTTTCCCCTGTTCCTATTATTTTCCATTGCTTACCTCTGTCCCTATTATTTTTTCTTGTTTTTCTCTGTACCTGCTATTTTCCTTTGTTTTCCACTGTCCCTATTGTTTTAGAAAGTCTTCCTCTGTTTCTATTTTCCCTTGTTTTCCTCTAGCCCTTCTCTTTTCCTTGTTTTCCTCTGTTTCTCTTTTTTCCCTTGTTTCACACTGTCCCTATAGATTTTCCTTATTTTCTACTGTCCCTATTGTTTTAGCTTGTCTTCCTCTGTTTCTACATTTTTTCCCTTGTTTTCCTCCGTTTCTCTTGTTTTCCCTTGATTTCCTATGTCCCTATAGTTTTCCCTTGATTTCCTATGCCCCTATTGTTTTCCCTTGTTTTTCTGTGTCACTATTGTTTTACATTGTCTTCTGTTTCTATTGTTTTCTCTTGTTTTCCTCTGTTCCTTTTTTTTTAAATTGTTTTCCACTTGGCCTAATGTTTGCCCTTGTTCCCCTCTGTCCCTATTGTTTTCCCTTCTTTTCCTCTGTCCTTTTTTTCCTTCTTTTCCTCTGTACCTATTGTCTTCCCTTGTTTTCCTCTCTTTCTATTTTTTTCATTGTTTTCCTCTGTCTTTATTGTTTTCCCTTTTTTTTCTCTATGCCTATTGTTTTCCCATCTTTTCTTCTGTCCCTATTTTTTCTTCTTTTCTCCCTATTGTTTTACTTTTTTTCTCTGTCCCTATTTCTCGCCCTGGTTTTCTTCTGTCTCTATTCTTTTCCTTTGTTTTCCTGTATCCCTATTATTTTCCTATGTTTTCCTCTTTCAGTTTCTGTTTTCCCTTGCTTTCCTCTGTCCCTATCGTTTACCCATGTTTGCCTCTGTCAATATTGTTTTACCTTGTCTTCCTCGGTTCCTATTGTTTTAACTTGTTTTCCTCTGTCCCTATTTTTGCCTTGTTTTCCTCTGTTTTTTTTCCGTTGTTTTCATCTGTCCCTTTTTTCCTCTGTTCCTATTGTTTTACATTGTTTTTTTCTGCCACTATTGTTTTCCTCTCTCCCTATTTTCCCTTCTTTTTCTCTGTCCTTATGTTTTCATTGCTTTTCCTCTGTCCCTATTGTTTTCCCTGTTTTTTTGTCCCTATTGTTTTCCCTTCTTTTCTTCTGTCACTATTGTTTTACCTTGCTTTCCTCTGTCCCTATTTTCCCTTTTTTCCTCTGTCCCTATTGCTTTCCTTTGTTTTCTTGTCTCTATTGTTTTACCTTGTATTAATGTGTCCCTTTTCTTTTCCCTTGTTTTCCCCTGTCCCTCTCGGGTTCCCTTGTTTTTCTCTCTCTGTTTCTATTGTTTTCCCTTGTTTTCCTTTGTTCCTATTTTTCCCTTATTTTTCTCTGTTCCTATTTTTTTCCCTTGTTTTCCTCTGTCCCTATTGTTTTACCTTGTTTTCCTCTGTCCCTATCTTTTTTATCTTGTTTTCTTCTGGCCCTATTATTTTTTTTTGCCTTGTTTTCCTCTGTCCCTATTTTTTCTATCTGTCCTGAGAGTATCAGATTTCCTAATCCTTTACTGATTGTCTCCCTTCGAAATTTCAAATGTCTCTTCCTGATGTTAAGTATCAGTTTCTTTTTCGTTTGCCATTTCTTAAAACTTCGTCTTTGCTCATAAGTTCTGTCCATTGCATTCTCAGCATCCTTCTTTAGATTCATATTTCCGTTCCTTCAAGACTCGTCTTCATTTTTGTGGAGATTGTCCAGCATTCTCTGACATACAGGAGAACAGATATCACGTAACATTTCAGTACCCATTTTTTTTTTGTTTCTCACGAAGTTTTCCTGTTTATCAATACTTTGCTTAGCTTCTATTTTTTTTCATGCGTTTCACCCCAAGCAAGGCGGAAAGCCAATAGCACGCAAGGGGTTACAGAGAGTTGGAGCGATAGCAAGTGATAGAGGAAGGATGACGAGAAGTATAAGGGATAGATCAAAGCATCTGGAGACGTTGATCGACATTACATTTGAATTGTTGGAGATTATAGGGGAGGGAGTTTCACAAGTGCGAGTGGAAGGCATCTTAGATTATCCGATAATTTCAAATTTCAGCGTCGCACTTTCCGTCTTCCGTTAGAACACTTCCCAGATATTTAAAATTTTACTTGTTTTATTTTGGTAAATCTCTATATTTCTGAGATGAGGTATTATGTACATTATTTA